GTATGTTTACTTGCATTTTGGCATTTACCTACTTGTTCCCTGTTAAGTAGACTAGCCAGAATTTGTTCACATTAGCCTTACATGCCAAGCAGGAAGATTCCTGAGTAGTAGTCAGATGGGGGTAACTTTGGAAAACCAAATGCTATAGGTTTGTTTCTTCCCTAAGAATTTCCCCTAGTAGCAGACACTGAATGCCTCCTGAATTCATTTAGTTTAATCAATATTAAGAGTAAGAAGGAAAAAAAATACTTTTGAAGCATCTTTTAGAATTTTGGTGTTTCTGTCCATTCATTTCTCCACATAGCCATCTACTTCTTGCTTTTTGTATTAGTAAGACTGTCTTGGTACAATATTCATTGTCCTGGGTATTCAGAATATCTTAGGACATTTTTTTTCTTGTGATCATTGAATGCAGAACCTAGCACATGCTAAGGATGGCTCATCTCTTGAGCTTTGCTACCAGCCTTATCTTGGAAATTTTTGAGGAAGTCACACGGCAACTAATATGGAAATTAATACAGATCTTTCATTGTCAAGGTTAACATATAGTTTACTTAGGACAGAATGAAGGCTTTTTATATTATTCTGACTTGGAAAGGTAGAATAAAAGTTCTGGGAACCAAAATTTATACCAAACTCTTCCTTGTTGGTACATTGCACTGTAGGACATTTTAGTGAGATAATCCACTAAAAATCATCAAATGTAGTACTTGGCCTATATAAAGTTCATTAAATGTTGATCTCCCTACTGATTTCTGTCTTTTCTCAGTCAAACTCTTGTCAAAAGTAGCTTATTATTTGATGAGAAACAACTATTATTTGTTTTCCCCAGTTAACTGGAGGCTCTATGCTCTTTTTGATAAAGATTTTGGTAATGCAAAGTCAGTTAATTCACTATTTTTTCCTTATTTATCTCCTGTGTTTTGGTATAATGAGGATTTACTGTAGCTGTTAATGCTACATAAATCTTCAATTTTATTATCCAACCCATCAGCAAACTAGCTTTTGTGAAAATTGAAGCTAAAAGTTATTTGATGAATGTTCCGTCCCCCTCAATAGTGAAAACTGGTCTGAAAATCATTTTTCAAGGAGCTTTTTCCAAAGGTTTCGAGTTCCTTCAAGCCTTTAAGAAGTTGGCAATATTATTAAGCATTTTGATTTCTTTCCCTTTCATCTCCTGTTTAGAAATTAATGTCTTGAAAAATTGGCTGCAAATGTTAAGGTTTTTTAAAGATATGAAATCTATTCATCTGTCTAATGCAACTGCAACATGTTAAAAAGAATTGGTTCTTTGCTAGACATCTTGGCCAATCTTGGAAAGATTTTTGTCTTCGCCTTCTAGACTTTCAGATGCCTTCTATTTTCATTTTTAGCACTTGGAAAACAAAGCACTTCAATGATTTTCTCAAATGAGAATTTCATCATGCATTCAATCTCTGTTCTTTGTAAGGTAATGAGACATGGCCCAATTCCTGTGCTTTATAAAAAGAGATGGTAGACTGAAAGATAATTTAAGCAATTGTAGGACAACCCTTTGATTTCTTCTGTCTCTCTCTCTATTGTATTTTCTTTCTACTGCAGAATGTATCAGTATTTGTCCTGAAGGTCCTCTAGTTTATCTTTTTCTTGTGCGATCATTGTTGCATACAACTTCGTGTAAAGCTGCTGCAGTTCAAAACCTGTCCCAGTATGTCTGCATATGGGTGTACATATGGTCAATTTTAGCTTTAACTTCAAATTTCCTTGAGTACATAGGCTGTGTGTATTCCCATAATGGTAGCTGAGCAATTTCTTTGCTATGGCTCAATTTCTTTCTCTTCTGCATTTTCCTCTCCCTTCCCTCTCTACAGTAGTAACTTTCCTAAAAGCCTCATAAAAAAAATCCATAACACCATGCAAGCAGGTGCCAAGAAGTTTAAGTTTAGATAACAGTCCCATCACATTTTGCTGTTTGGCTAAGGCAGGATGCATAAATGGAATGGAATGTGGTGTTATGATTCCCTTGCTAATGCACGCAGTGCTGTTCCAGCACGCGCCTCAGCATCCGTTTCTATTTGTTGACTGCCAGGATGTGTGGGTGCTCTGGAACAGTACAACTACCACCTTCAACTGAGACATACAATCTACATGGAAATGTATCAGGAAGCTTGATCTGCCTGTGCTACTTCATCTGGTCTGTTGTGTGAGCAGGGTAGCTACGGTTAGAGGAATTGTTTCACCAGCTGTTTCAGGAGTATCCTTTCTGATTTCCAGAGGTGACTTTTGTGAGTGAGACCGTGCAAGCATGTAGCTATTCTACACTTCTTGTGCTTAAACGTCTAAATTCCCTTTTTTAATTCACTGAGCCGAGCTACCTGAGGAAGGAACCTGGCGAAGATTTTTCCTATGATAATGCACAGAACTCAACTTCTATTTTCTTTTTCGTTAGAGAGTAAGGGTCACACTTAGGCATCTTTGATGTAATGAAGGAGACAAGGAAATGTTAAAAACAACTAATTGATTAGCAGTTCATTGGTTTTATAGCAAATTTCACTGAGATTTTGTTATGTTTCAGTTTTCCTTAGAATAGTGAAAGGGAAAGATACAGTCTCCACTTTCATGAAGTTTTATTGTACTAGCCAGGCAGATATAGACAGATAAAGTATTAATTACTTAATTACAATTAGGCACAAAACTTCAAAAAGAAATAGAGTTTACTATAAGAGCAGCTAATAGGAATCTGACTTCATCTCAAGTCTCAGAAATGAAAGGATTACTGAGCTTAGTGTAATTCTAATGTGCATTGAGGAATTTGGGGAAACAGTGTGGGGAGGCTCTTCCAGGTAGCAAAGGACCAGCTTGTGCAAAGGCCTTAGACAGGAAGGAACACAGTGTTTACTGGGCACTGATTAAAGCCCAGTATGGCTGGAAAGTAGAGTCAAAAAAGACCGGGAGGGGCTGAGGATATAGCTCAGTGGCACAAGCATCTGGGAAGCTCAAGGTCCTGAGTTTGATTCCCAAAAAAGAAAGACTTGGAGATGAGAGAAAAAAATCCATGATAGAGTCAGGACCAGACCAGGTGGGGTGTGCTCAGTAAGAATTGTTCATGATGTACGTGTTTTGTTCAAACGTATGAGCAGTCACTGAAATGTTGTAGATGCTATGTGGCATCACTAGATTCCTGTTTCCTCAGCAAAGACCCTTCTGCCTGCCGTGTAAGAGCAGGTTAAGCGAGGAAAATCCTGGACACAGGGAGTCAAGTTACAAGGCTGTTACACTAGTCCAGAAAGAAGCTGGCAACTTGGCTTAAGGGAGAGGGGGAAAAGAGCTATGTTAAAGAGCAACTAGGAGGTAAAAGTCAAATGGACATAGGTACTGGATATGCAGAGAGGATAAAGAGCGGGCATATAGATTTTTGTATGGAAAAACAGGGGAAGTGGTGTAATCTTCCCTGATAGGGAGCGTGGGGAAAGGACCAGCTGGGCAGAGGGGAAGCTGGAGAGTCTGGTTTGGTAATGTTAGTCCAGTTTGAGTGGCCGGTGGGAGAGCCACCGTAAGGGGGTAAGTCGAGTTGACTGTGTGTGACACTCAGAGGAACTTCCTTCTCTGGCAGAATTGGAGACAGGGTCATTGCACGTGATCACACACGACCAGGTGTGGATGAGAAGATATCTAGGAAGTTGAAGCATCTGTGAATTGCTCAGTTATGCCTCACAAGTGCATAGGAGCGCTCACTCTTTGCTAGTCCTGGGCACATGAAAAGGGAGGACATTCAATAACCACTGTAGGGCATCTTTTTGCAGTAAGCCTAAATTAGATTTTAGACCACAGCATGGGGAATCTTAAAATTCCAGAGAAAACTATTGGGCAGGATGAATCTGCACCTCAGGCCTGCCTTTGTCTTTGTCTTTACGTCAGTCTAACCTGAGACTCTGCAACCTCAAGATCATTTTATGCTTATTTATCCAGAGTCCACACACAGAGTAGTCAGTAGGAACATTCTTTACTGTAACTCCTTGTGATCTCATGTAACCTTTCCTGAGTTTTGAGAGCCTTTCTCCCCTTCTGCCTTGTCTTCCTAAATGAAATAAAGAACAATAAGATTGCTTTCCACACTAAGAATATGCATCTGATTTTTAAAAAAAGAATCTGCCCTTGGGTTACAAAATAGCCATCTCATATTTCATAAGTTACAAATTGCTGACGATTTTCAGATTATGATGATATTGACTTCACTTGTGAAAATTAGGCCACACCCCTCTACCCTGTTCCTAAAATAAAAGTAGATCTATTGGCAAAGTGAAATTTATGGCCTCTTTTATTTAGCTCTTATTCTTCAGAGACCCATGGCTTAAAATGTCCTATATTTTAAGACTACATTTCTCAAATTATTGTCTTTGGACCACCTGTGTCAAAATCACTGGGGTGTGCTTGTTAAAAATGAAGACTGTTGAACCTTGTCTTCCAATTCTTTTTTACTGTACAGCTAGGATAAACTCCAGTAATTTTTATTTTAAACAAGCACACCAAGCACTTTCCACATATACTAGAATTTAAGACCCTCTCTTTTAAGGGTATCAAATTTTGAGTGTCTCCAACTGGTATTGTGTATTGATGAGAAATTAAATAGCCTTGAACACCAGGTCAGGGTCAAACCAATTTTGAGGATTAATAATCAAATCACAAGTATTCAAATATTTCATGAGTATTAGTGAAACCCATTGCATACACTTCTTTTCTAACATGTAAAGGTTTGTGTAAAGGGACAGCAGAAGGGCTAGGAAAAGTGGAAAAATGTAGAGCAGCACAGAGAAGAATACATGGGTGAGAATGAAGAGATCAGTGTTGAAGCCATGGAGAGTGAGATCTGGTGGAGGGGTGGTTTTCCCTGGGTGTGGTGTACGGGGTGCTCACTTGGTGAGTTCCAGTTATGCATGCTTGTGCGCTTCTGGATATTTCTAGAGCAGCATCTTCTTTCCAAATCCAGAACTAGCAGAAGTCTCTCCTTACCTCCCCGCTAGGAAGAGCGCCGTGTGATTTACGTCGGTAAAATCAGACCTGACACAACACGGACGGAACTGAGGGACCGCTTTGAAGTTTTTGGTGAAATTGAGGAGTGCACAGTAAATCTGCGGGATGATGGGTGAGACTCTTCAAGATTATTTCTTGTTTAGAAGCTGACGTATGTAAAAAATTATGGCCCTAAGATTCCTAGGATGGGAGTTGCCAATGTAAGTACTTTGACAGATGACATGTTGAGTTCAGAACCTTATTTATTTTCTTTCATCCCTATTTATTAATCTTTCTAGTTGAGATTTCCTGTCCCAGAAATAAGTATTTAGCTGCTTGACAGGACAATCATACTGATAAATGGAGGCAGTGGCTCAGACACTGGCACCAGGGAAGTCTCCCAAAGTAGAAAGGGTTACAGTCCTATATGTTAATGCTCCTTAAACAGTCTGAATTTCTCTTTGTCCATTGCAGAGACAGCTATGGTTTCATCACTTACCGTTACACCTGTGATGCTTTTGCTGCTCTTGAAAATGGATATACTTTGCGCAGGTCAAACGAAACTGACTTCGAGCTGTACTTTTGTGGACGCAAGCAATTTTTCAAGTCTAACTATGCAGACCTAGGTATGGATTTTATTGTACATAGAATGAGGAATCCATAATGTAGAGCTCAAAATGGGAGCAAACATACTCTGCAGGCACCTAGGGTTGAGCCATCATTTTATTTTACTGAAGAGAACACTTGAGCGCAGATACTCTTTTAAATGTATGGGACAATTGCAAAGGCAAGTAGTGTAGGTCTTAGCAATAAACCACAGAAGTAAATCCTTCTGGCTCCATAGCTACTGATATTCCACTTTGTGTGTATGTGTGTGTGTGTGTGTGTGCGTGTGTGTGTGGTACTGTGTTTTGCATATGTGCGTGCTGTGTTGTTTGTATGTGTATGGTGTATTGTGTTTATCCACATGGGTTTAAGTTTACCCACATGGAGTTTTTTGTCTATATGCTTGTAATCTGTTTTTTACACTCCACACTTACCCTGAATCCTATCGTATAAACCATTGCACTGCCATCATTGTTTTATGCAAATATGCAAAGGTCTTATTCTTTTTATTGTTTCCCAAACTCTCAAAATATAATTTTTGATGAAACGTAACTTGCAGGGAGAAAGTAAAACTTCTTACTGTAGCTCACTCCACATTTCCTTTCTTTAGAACCAAAGAAATGAAATCCAGTATTTGTTGTTTCCATATGCTAGCGAGGCTCTGTGCAGGAGCTTTGCAAATGTTTCCCCACTTGATTACCAGCATTACCTTAGGAGGTGAATGTTAATGTTATCTTCTCCATTTTGCAGATAATTAAAATAAAACATACATAAATATACATTTTGCCTTTTACAAAGTCCTACAGAATCAAGAAGTAAAATTTAGAAAAGATAAGCCAGTATTAGGAAGAAATGCAAAATTACCTATCAACCTATCACCCCAAAATAACCATTATTACTAAGTGAATGGATTGCCTTTTACGTGGGAATGCCTGATTTCTTATAGTTGAGGTCATATACATAGGAATATATTAAATTCTACTTTTATCGACATTATTATATAAACTCATTTACTACTGTGATGCATGGCATTAAAATAATTTGTCAATAGTTTTAATGCCTGCACAGTATTTTGTTAGTTGGTTATATTTAATTGTTCCATTATGGCTATGCATGTATCATTATTTAATTTTTTGATATTAAAAATAATGTTACAATAGATATCTTAATTTCCTTTCCAGGAATTTTGTTCCTTCACATGTCATTCCTCATCTAATGTGTATATTATAAGCCTTTTAATTCTTTGAGGAAGAAATGAGGAAGGAAAGTACCAAATGCCTTGTGCATATGATGTAATTTTAAAATTAATTTATAATAACAATAATATTAACCTATGCATCTACTCCCTAGCATTATTAGATATTTTTCCAAAATTGCACTGGCATGGTGTAAAGAAAGAAATGAATACCAAATACGGGGATTTCTTTTTCCCTTTTAACGCAGTGTAGTGTCTTGCTGGAGTAATTGATATAGGTGGTGTGCATTGTTCAGGGGAATATGCTATAATTCACTTCACAAGCTAAATAGATAGTGTGGAGCGGGGAGAGGCAGCTGACTGTTAGAGAGATAGAGGCCGAGGGATGAAAATATAAAATGTGGCAAGTCATTTGTTCAAATGTTGGCTGATAAAAACAGTCAAGACAGATTGAAACCTTGACTTGATTTGACTTATTTTCTTCGGTGATGAAGGCCAGGGTATTTCTACTCTCTCAAAACATCTAGGGTTTAAAATAAGGTACCTAGAGGGGCCTTCAGATCAAGATTCATCGTTGTAGCGGGAGGATTGGATAGTATTTCCAAATTGAACTGGCGCCTCCCTGAAATATTTCTAAGAGGAATGTTCTCCTCTCATTATCTCCCTACCTAGCCAGCAGCAATAGAAGCTTTGCCGTTGCTAAAATCACTCTGCATTTTCTGGAAAGTATGTTTGATGTGCACTGTGGGAGCATGGTATTTTCCAATTCCCTCAAGCTCTGCAGTGGGAAGAGGCTCTTTTTCTGTCTGTGCAGCATAGTGGACTCTAAAAGATCTCTGACTTTGGAATCCTGAGCACCTGGGCTGGTAACTTGGCTTTCACTGATCTCAAACAAACAATTCAACTCCATTATCTTCTTTTTTTTGTACCAGGAATTGAACTCAGGACCTTGCACTTGCCAGGCAGGCACTTATGCCACTGAGCTCTAACCCTGGCCTCTATTAGCTTCTGAGTGTCTCTTTGTAAAAGGCCTTACAATATTGTGATTATTTGTGATGCTCTTAGTACAACTATGGGCGTAATATAGGTGGTCAATAAACGGGCGTAATATAGGAGGTCAGTAGCTAGGATTATGATTAAAATCATAGGAATGCAAAATTAGAAACTTAGAGATGTTTTAAAATAGAAGAATGGGCAAAGGATCTAGCTTTGGAACTCGGTGGAATTCTCATCTGTCTTCCTTTTATTCCTGAAAGGCAAGAGCACACACAGGCACTTAGTATGGTGAGCTTAAGAGTATTTTGGATTCTTGAAGAGATTGGGAACTTAGATGTGTATGAAGAGTGAAGTAAAAATGACGTGATGTGGAGTAACTTTACCATGATATTTTAGAGAGATTAACAATTTTTTTTCTTATTTCTATTTGCTCCTCTAAGTGAAATTAGCTCACACATCGTATTTCTCCACTATTGAAAACAGCTAGTGGTTACTACACTGTTATTAGAGTTAAATAAAATGGTTTTAACCTTCTACTCGTGAGCTAGTTTTATAAGTAAGCTGAAAGTTTAATGTGACTTGATCAAGGTTACCAGGGTGAAGTAAGCACTTGAAATCAGTTTTATATGAATCTTTACTCTGTGTGTTTTTCTGTTTTCTCTTATAAATGAATGATCATTTAAAAAATTGACAAAAATATTAAAGAGGAAAAATAGAGAAACTATGCTAACAGTGTAAGATTGGTATAGTATTTACAAATACTTTGGCATGTATTGGTAAATCACTCTCAGATCCCAGCACAAATGTTTTCAACCATGGTTGTAATATTATGTAAGTATTTGAGATTAATATATTCATTTGAAAAACATTAATTTGAGTACCTACTTTGTGCCATGTATTTTTCCTAGTACTAGGGATACAGTTGCAGTGCCATTTGTATAGCATCATAGTTCACAACTGTTTCTTTTTGAAAAGTAATTAGTGGCTTGCAGGGTAGTCCGATAACAGTTTTGTTTTTTTATACTTTCATGTATTGCAACATCTTTCTGTTAAGGAGAGAGAATGTAGTAGAGTGGATGTGATTGCCTGAAGAACTGCATCTGACTATTTCCCACCTCATGTAATAAAAAAGGTTTTCTGTGCCACACAATGTGCTTGTGTAAGTGGGTACACAGCCACATGCTCTTTCATAGTCCAGAAATTCTTGAGAACTACTTATGGCAAAAAAATTCTTCATACTTGAGAATGGAAATATAGAAACAATGAAATTGCAGGTCTCGCTTGGAATAATCTAAAGTAAAAAAATTTAATGATTTTCAATATTACTTCCAAGAAAAGGCATATGTACATGTTCCTGATGGTTCTGTGTAGCCTTTTGTCGTGCAGACTACAGTCACTGGGAGAATGTTCCATCCCAATCCTAAATGCAAATGGAATTCTGATTTCAAGCTAATCCCTTACACTGTATGAGACATTATTTATTTTTTGTCTTTGCAAAAAGATCTTGACTTGAATTTCAGCTACTCTGAACCCTTAGTAATATAAGCATTCACTAGGCCATGAGGAGAAAGGTAAAAGTTAGAATCGCTTAAGAATGAACTTTTGAGGATTTAGCTGGGGATTTAGCTCAGCGGCAAAAGCGCCTGCCTGGCAAGTGCAAGGTCATGAGTTCGGTTCCCAGTACTGGAGAAAAACCAAAAAAAAAAAAAAAAAAAAAAAAGAATGAACTTTTGAAGGTAGTTTTGAAGAAATCTTGGCTACATTTTGTCTTCACTTTAATATCTGGAGAAGATTATAATTGCTGTTGTTCTTACCTGGAAAAACTTGCTGGAAGAAAGTCATTAGGTAAGGACTGTAGGAAAGAAAGAAAATAAGTAAAGCAGTTTATTTTGTCTTTAGATCTAAGACAGCGAAAGTTGAATGAGAGTTGGGGACCATAACGTAATATTGGTGCTGAAGAGCTTGGAGTATTGCAGTATTTTCAGCACAATAGTTTCACTGTGTGAATTATCAACTTTATATCCTTTTATCAACTTTATATTCTTCTACTACCAAGCATTTCTGTTGGAACTTCCTCTGGAAGAAAACATGGAAATGCTTATATTTTATTATATCTATCAATGTGCTGCAGAAATGTTTATTTTCCTTTCAAATAAATGTTTTCCAAAGGATGAGTATATTTGCAAATGGCTTCTGATTGTATTTCTAAGCCACTCTTCCTACTTGCAAGACCAGCAAGAAATATTTGATTTTTCTATCGATGTGAATGGACAAAAATCAGAAGTATTTCACAGAATTAAATTTTATATTCAGCATTTCTCAAGCACATCTATTTATTAAGGGTCACTTAAAGTAGCATGTGCAATTTGGGTAAACACGACTTGGATTAATTTAAGCTTCCAAGAGAGAGCATAGTTGTATTTATAACTGCATATTTATTCTCTCCTATTGATGAGCAGAGGCTGAAAGTCCCCTCTCAGCATGGGAAATATTTCTGTAGCGCTTCTAATTGGAGAAGTGTTCACACCTGCATTGCTGGGCTGATAGAAGTATTGGGGTGCATGATGAGATTGATTGGATGCCCCTTCTGCCTCAAAGGGCAGCAGCAGGTTGGGGATTGAGGAATGTTCTGGAGTGATTCCCTCCTTCCACTCAACTGCCTTTCATGCTCAGTGAAGTGAACTCCACTGAGTAGGAAAGTTAGTCTGAGCTTCTACATGTGCTTCCATGGCTGGGTTATGGAAGAATGCTAAGCAAGTCTCTTAGTATTCCAGAGGGAAAAGTAATTGCCTAAAAAAGAGGTGAAAGACTGTTTTTGCCTTCCTCCCAGAAGTGTTTCCATCTAAAATGAATCAATAGGTACATGTTTTTGAAAGCTCAACCTATATACATCCTCTGCCTATATACATGCAGTATCCAGGAAAATCTGGGCATTGTTTTTTTAAAGGTATTGATTGGCTAAGCTGCAGTTGAGTCAGGCAGTTTTGAACTGGAATGATTGTGCTAATGGCCATCAACAAAGGGTCCATCTAACCTGGCTTGTGTTTCTTTCAGATTCAAACTCAGATGACTTTGACCCTGCTTCCACCAAGAGCAAGTATGACTCTCTGGATTTTGATAGTTTACTGAAAGAAGCTCAGAGAAGCTTGCGCAGGTAACATGTTCCCTGGCCGAGGATGACAGAGATGGTGAATACCTCACGGACAGCGCGTCCTTCGTGGACAGACTATTTCAAGTCATACTTAGGAAGTTCTCCTACTTTACACTCTCTGTACAAAAACAAAACAACAATACAACAATACAACAACAAACAACAACAGCAACAATGGTTTACATGAACACAGCTGCTGAAGAGGCAAGAGACAGAATGATATTCAGTAAGCACATGTTTATTCATGGGTGTCGGCTTTGCTTTCCCTGGAGTCTCTTGGTGACAGTGTGTGTGTTTGTGTGTGTGTGTGTGTACACTTGGTTTGGGGGACGTGTGTGTGCGTGCGTGTGTGTGTGTGTGTGTGTGTGTGTGTGTGAAGACTGGGGCCACCTGACCAGAACGTGCAAGGGCAAACCACTTCAAATGGCAGCAGTTCCATGAAGACACACTTAAAACCTAGAACTTCAAAATGTTCGTATTCTATTCAAAAGGAAAAAAATATATATATACATATATATATATAAAAATTGAAAAGGAAAGAAAACTAACCAACCACAAACCACCCTAAAATGACCGCTGCTGATGTCCGGGCATCAGCCTCCTTCTCTGTTTTTTAAGAAAGTGCAAAATCAACTCGAAGCAAGCTTTCTCTCATAACATTAATGATTATCTGACAATCCTGAAGAAACCACAGGTTCCATAGAACTAATATCCTGTCTCCCTCTCTTTCTCTCTCTCTCTCTCTCTTTCTCTCTCTGTTTTTTTCTTTTCCTTTTTGCCATGGAATCTGGGTGGGAGAGGATACTGCAGACACCAGAATGCTAAACTTTCCTAACATTTTGAAGTTTCTGTAGTTCATCTTTGGTCCTGACACCCATATAAATGTCCAAAATGTTGACTTTCCACTGCAAATTTTAACAGCCTTGTCAATGGTCAAGCGTGCAGCTTGCTGGACAATTCTTTCTGAGGAGCAGACGTGGTGTTACATTGCTCATGAGAGTTGAGTAGAACTCTCTGGATGTGTTCGGATAGTGTAATTGCTACATTCTCTGATGTAGTTGAGTATTTACAGATGTTAAATGGGAGTATTTTTATTTTATGTACATACGATACAACAATGTTCTTTTTTGTTATAGCTATGCACTGTAAATGCAGCCTTCTTTTCAAAACTGCTAAATTTTTCTTAATCAAGAATATTCAAATGTAATTATGAGGTGAAACAATTATTGTACACTAACATATTTAGAAGCTGAACTTACTGCTTATATATATTTGATTGTAAAAAAAACAAAACAAAACAAAACAAAAGACCGTGTGTGTATCCGTTGAGGGCAACTACAACAAAATGATGCTTTACGCACATCCATCCCTTCTTAGGTGAGCTTTGATCTAAGCATCTTGTCCGAAAATATCCTAGTCCCCTAAAGGTATTAACCACTTCTGCGATATTTTTCCACATTTTCTTGTTGCTTGTTTTTCTTTGAAGTTTTATACACTGGATTTGTTAGGGGAATGAAATTTTCTCATCTAAAATTTTTCTAGAAGATATCATGATTTTATGTAAAGTCTCTCAATGGGTAACCATTAAGAAATGTTTTTATTTTCTCTATCAACAGTAGTTTTGAAACTAGAGGTCAAAAAAATCTTTTTAAAATGCTGTTTTGTTTTAATTTTTGTGATTTTAATTTGATACAAAATGCTGAGGTAATAATTACAGTATGATTTTTACAATAATTAATGTGTGTCTGAAGACTTATCTTTGAAGCCAGTATCTCTTTCCCTTGGCAGAGTATGATGATGGTATTTATCTGTATTTTTTACAGTTATGCATCCTGTATAAATACTGATATTTCATTCCTTTGTTTACTAAAGAGACATATTTATCAGTTGCAGATAGCCTATTTATTATAAATTATGAGATGATGAAAATAATAAAGCCAGTGGAGATTTTCTACCTAGGATGCATGGCGATTGTCAGGTTGGAGTGTAAGTTCTTCCTTGTGGAAACTCAGCTTTTGCAGAAGCAGTGTTCCTATTGCACTAGCATGGCCTCTGACGTGACCATGATGTTGTTCTTGATGCCATTGCTTCTGCTAAATTAAATAAAAAAACTTCAGAAAAAAAAAAACCCTCCATTTTGAGCATCAGGATTTCATCTGAGTGTGGAGTCCCAGGAATGGAATTCACTAAAGTTTGGAGTGTGTATTCAAGTTACTCAATCGAGATTTGATACCTGTTTGACTGACATGACTTTTCCGGAAGACGTGCTATACCTACTACTTAATCGTTCTTTTCCTTTCTTTCACCCAACATGATCTTATCAAATCGGTTTCACCCCCAGGCCAGTGCAGCTAATTTTGAGAGCTGCATTCATTTATCACCAGCATATTGTGTTCTGAGTGAATCCACTGTCTGTCCTGTCGGATGCTTGCTTGAGTTTTTGGCTTCTTATTTCTAAGTAGATAGAAAGCAATAAAAATACTATGAAATAAAAGAACTTGTTCACAGGTTCTGCGTTACAACAGTAACACATCTTTAATCCGCCTAATTCTTGTTGTTCTGTAGGTTAAATGCAGGTATTTTAACTCTTTGTGAACGCCAAACTAAAGTTTACAGTCTTTCTTTCTGAATTTTGAGTATCTTCTGTTGTAGAATAAAAGACTATTAAGAGCAATAAATTATTTTTAAGAAATCAATATTTAGTAAATCCTATTATGTGTTCAAGGATCAGATGCATTCTCTATTTTGCCTTTAAATTTTTGTGATCCAATCTTAAATACATTCTCCTTTTTGACCTGGACAACACTACAGACTCCATGTTTCGGATTAATTTATCCCCCTGTGGCCTAACAAATATTGTTACCATGAAGATAGGTTTCCTCCATGAACTTCAAATCGCATCTAAAGTTAGTGAAGCTTTTGTATCTTATGCAGACACTGTGGGTAGCCCATCAAAATGTAAGCTGTGTTCCTGTTTTTTAAAAAAAATTTTTGGGACAGAGTATTTCAAATGAGCATATGCACCCCATCATCACTGGAGGCAAATTTCAGCATAGATCTGTAGGATTTTTAGATGACCATGGGCCATTGCCTTCACGCTGTGGTAAGTACCACATCTACAATTTTGGTAATCGAATTGGTGCTTTAGAAATGTGGGGTTTTTAAAGAGACGTAGCAGAATAATTCTTCCAATGCAACAAAATCAATTTTTGCTAAATGACTCTGAGAACAACTGTTGGGCTGTCAACATTCAAAGCAGCAGAGAGGGAACTTTGCACTATTGGGATATGACGTTTGGGTCGGTTGAAAAAAGGAAACCTTTTCATGCCTTTAGATGTGAGCTTACAGTAGGTAATGATTATGTGTCCTTTTTTGATGGCTGTAATGAGAACTTCAATCACTGTAGTCTAAGACCTGATCTATAGATGACCTAGAATAGCCATGTAATATAATGTGATGATTCTAAATTTGTACCTATGTGACAGACATTTTCAATAATGTGAACTGCTGATTTGATGGAGCTACTTTAAGATTTGTAGGTGAAAGTGTAATACTGTTGCTTGAACTATGCTGAAGAGGGAAAGTGAGAGATTAGTTGAGCCCTTGCCGGGCTTTTTTTCCACCTGCCAATTCTACATGTATTGTTGTGGTTTTATTCATTGTATGAAAATTCCTGTGATTTTTTTTAAATGTGCAGTACACATCAGCCTCACTGAGCTAATAAAGGGAAACGAATGTTTCAAATCTACCTCTGCTTTTCTTATTTATCGTAACCAAACTGCTGGCATGTTTCTCAGATCAGAACATATCACTTGCTTATTACTATTCCATTTCCTCTCTGGCTCGTTCTCTCTCTCTCCCCCTTTCTTCCTGCTTTTCCGTATTCATGGATGCATTTCAGCTCTAAGGAAGTATGCACCTTCCGTGTTTTACTTATCTCCTTCCAATCCGTGAAGGCAGACACGGTGATTTCTCTAATGAACGTTCAGAGGTGAAAAGTGATGTGGGACGTTATCCAATGGATTAGTTCTATTTTTGCACTTAACCCTAGAAAATGTGTATTTTCAAGTAGAAGCTATTGCCCCGGGGAGAAATCTGCTAAATATTCAGCGTAGGAGATGGACTGGATATTTCTCAGAGATGTGTAACAGGATGTAGTCCCTGATCTTATGTAAGTCATCAGGTTACATATGGGGTGAGCTGAGAGCTGTCGACGTGTCTTCCTGTCAGGCGGTCCATCGCACCTGGTAGGTGGGGGTGGTCCTAACGACAAAGACTGCATTATTAGCATTGCCCTCTCCCCTGATTTCAGATGGTCCTTTCTGCTCTCAGTCACTTGTATTTCAAAATGCGCATGAACCTGCCACTGGGGAAAAGTGACTCGATATATCGTGCCCCTCCCCCCAAATTTCCTAGAGAGAAAAGAATAAATAATGTAAATATTGAAAATATGATAGTGCTTTTAATAGTGCATTTAAATCTGCTAAATAACAGAAGAGCACTCCTGGTGGCTCTATTTTTGTTTTATAGTAGTAATAAGGTTTGTCAATTATTTTATCAATATAAAAAATACAAAAGTACTATTTGTCAGGTAAATAGTGCGTCCTATACAACGATGGATGCTGAGATCCCAGGATCCCGTGGGTAAGCCAGATCCTGACTTGTCTTCCACTTTTGCTTAAATTACATAGAGTGTTTTTTGCCTTTTGACTGGAAGAAGTAAGGACATTAGAATAATGCAACTCTTCTGTAAAGAGTTAACTTTTTACTCTCATAAACCTTTGAAGAAAAAGAGAAAAAAATAAGGGATTTTAAGAGGCAGAAGTAGCCACTATTTTGACCCTGGAACACACCAACGAGAGAAAAAATTTCACTTCATGTTCTCCAAACATGAAATCATTTCCATCCTTGATGTGACTAATGTGAAAACTAACTATTGAAACCCAAATTAAATGAACACTGGATATGAATAGTTTATTTAAAAAGAGCTTGTCTCATTTCAATGGTCCTTCAAACTAATTCTCTCTAAGCTATATACAATGTGGTATTGAGTTGAAATTCTTTTTAAGCATTGCCAGTTTCCTTTTTTGTAGGGTTATTTAGCTAATCATTAGACGTAATTTACAGCCCTAATAACATTATTATACTCTTTGACACTGGTATTCCTAGATACACTGTTATAACTCAGTATTAATTACAGAACATTTTAACCAAAGCATATTTTTTCAATATTCATATTAATCTCCTATTTTGCAATTCTTGCTGTTCCTTGTTTTCAAACACTCTACCCACTATAAATCAATCTTTGTGCTTTATCAAACAGCAGAGACTAATAAAGAAGGTCACAACTCATAGAAGAGTTCCTTGGAGGTTTGTAACATCATGATTTAAATCTCAGAAAGATTTAATCAAAAGCTGAATTAATCCCTGAGGGAAAATATGTTGTATACATTCCATCGATGGGCACAAAGCAGCCTGTTTCTTTTCACTTGTCTCTGTTAACATGTTGGAGAAAAGGACCATAATTTTTCCGTGAAGAAGAAAATATAATTTCCTTGGTGGGGGAAGGATAACGTGCAATAACCTTCATGCTGTGCTCTGTCTCCTCTGTGGCTGATTCTATCTTATTTAATGTGGCATTCTCTGTTCTTCTAGTGTGTGGTTAAGTTCAATGTCCTCTATCCTGTAGTTCCCTCTACCTACTCCACGTGATTCAGTAACTGTGCAGAGTTCCCAAAGGTGCACTCCAGCCAAGCATGTGGAATGTGTGGGTCACATGGGCTGCTGTCCAGGTCTCTTCTGTGTAATCAGGTGACTGCCCCAGGGCAAATTCTCAGCATTCAAGGACATTGAGAACTTGCAGGAAGAAATGAACATAACATTCAGGTATTTCCAGGATTAGGATCTATTGAGAAGCCTATCATTGTTTCATGATTAGGATGCATGCTAGATCAGAGGCTGCCAACTTTGCACTTGCCATTTTTCTGCCCATAATTCCATAGGAATGTCACCATATTCTTTTATAGCTCAATACTCATTGCTTACCACGAGCTAATTTATAGATGGAGTAGAGTGGAATTAATTAGATGAAAAAGAAGTGAGAGAAAACTTTTAGAGGAGAAAACCAAATGATCCTATAATATTTCCATGATTAAATTAAATGAACATAATTATGCATGCACATATGCACAGGAAGGCATTATTATAATCAAGAACCTTAAAACATTGTATTGTTTCAAATTTATGTATATAGCACTTACTGAAGGCAAGTAGCTAGTGTGATATTTGAATTTGCATATTGACCATTTTCATATATTTTCATATACTAATTTCTAGTAGGTAGTAGCTGAATTGTTAGAAAAAATCCTGGAGTAATATAGAAAACTACTGTGCTTCTGCTGGTTTTTGAACATCAGGCCCACTTAACCACGTTATCTTTTTTCCACATAGTTTTCTGTGATGAGTTTTCAACAAGATGACATCCAAGTGAAAGCTGAAATTAAATGGGAAGGAAAGAATGTTAAGTGGTAAAATCCTAAATAGCTTATTAGACTACTTAGTTGGAGGGAATTTATTTTTGCTGTGGTTAGGAACTCTGTAGTAACCTTCCCTTTAACTATAGTAATTGATGAAAAAAAAAATAGCTATAGTAATATAGGTACCACACAATACCCTCCAGCAGTTCATTTAAGGAAATTCACAGGTACTTTCCTTTGATTTACTTTGGTGTTGTTGAAAACCCAGTTTTGTCTGCATTGTACCATTGCTTTCTCATTTCCTTTCCAACCAAGTGCCTTACTTATTCCTATCATAGCTTCACAGTGAACTTAAAAGACTTACTCAATTTCAACAGAGAGTGAGGCTGTGCTTGTGGCAAATTTAACCATTTGGCAGGTTTTTAGCTTGATCAGTGTACACTTTCATTAAATGTATGCTAATATTTCACAGTGCTGAGTGGTATTACCCTCTGTAAGCACATCCACCAGTGGTGCCAGGAATTGGTGTGTATTCTCACACAATTATGATTAATTACTCTATATCTTAGAGAAGAGTGAGTTATGGTCCCACACATACACATGTGAGATGGCTATTTTAACTTGGTATCAGGTAACTTCATGATCAAGTGAGACAGATGCATGGCCTGTTTCCCCTCCACTTGTTTGGACACACAGGAAAAGCAGCGGGACAGTGACCTTGTGGGCTATCTTTCTCAGGGTCACCAGTCTGAACTGCTGGATAGACAAAAATCAATTGGTGGGAAATCAAGAGATGGAGTTTATGCTTCTTTTTTTTTTCTGGCCTTAGCATCTGGAGGGTGGAAGTACCTGTGTGTTGGGCTGATATTTTTTGATTTTCCAATTTTCCAGTGGAAGGTGAGTCGGCACAGAGAAGTAGGGCCAGAGCGTGCACCTGATGAATGAAACAATTTATAGACACAAAAGTTCCTTTGTCACATGGTACTGGGATTTCATTGATCCGCTGTGACCATGACACACTATGGCAAAGACTAAGAATAGAAAGTTCACTTGTAGTACAGGGAAGTGATAAATACAAAGTTAACCAAGCACATTTGGAGTTCAGGTACAAAGCAAGGTGTAGGAAAGGATTCCCGTAGTCCCTTCTTCATCTTTTATGCCAACTCATTCCGTAGAATTATATAAACACAAGGCGCAATTGTGAAGCTACAGGAATAGAGTCTTAAAGAAGAGAATGAGACTTGCAGGTTGGTGTCATGTGTGTGGCTGGGTCTAGGCTAGTCAGAGAACAACTGGCCTTTCCCATGCTGGCTGTTGATGGGAGACCCTTGGAACTTCCATAGCCAGAAATTTGGATAGAATTTTTAATCTTTAATTGCATGAAATGATAGAAAGATGGTCCTCCACACATACAGCATAAAAGGCTCTTCATGTTTCAATCACACTTTATTTTTTCTAATTGGCTTGGTTTTACCATTTCAAAGTACCCATGTACAGCAAGGAGGCTTCACAGACATTCAGCATTTTAAAAGTTAAGCTTCAACTCCTTTAAAAGTCATATTTCTTAGATACCGTGGAGACACCTAAATTTATGACATCAGGAAGATTTAAAGCATTGTTTGCTTTTTTTTGTCCTCTTAAAAACTTAGATTTATCAATTCCATTTAGAAAGTTGATCAGTTTAAGAGACTTCCTTTCTTAGAAGAAGTTCTTGCCCAGTTTTACCGAGTCATCCTGTTTTTTTAGAAATTTCACTTCAAAAAATGATGATCCCCATTTAAAAAAAAAAAACACCATCTTGTTTCAGTAAAGAGACAAACATGAAAAGCTACTCTCTTGTTGCAAATTGAATAGATTCAGTGTTATGAAAAAAGTGATAATAATTATGATGATGTATCACATAACATTTATTGTGCATATACTTAGTTACTTTGCTTATATGTTTACAAGCATTTTCTAATTATTCTCCTTACAAAAGGATAAGGTAGAAATACAACTCTTCCCACTTTGTAGATAATGAAATGGAGTTTTAGGGGAAGTTACTCTACCAATCTGGACAGAGTCCAGTTGACTTCAAAGCTTATTTTGTCAACTATTATGGAGGATAGAGAATATATACATCCTCCAGGAATCAAATTCTGATGTTTCGATAATTTTTCTTTTCTGTTATTCTACATTCATTGAACTTTTCCAGTGCACAAGAGATCACATTAGGCACTAGGAACAGAAGAAAAATAGGCCTGGATCCTATTCTACATGTACTTAGTGACAT